ATACATACATACATACATGTTTTGGAGAGGGTGCAGCTAGAGTGCCCTTTGGAGGCAAGAATGATGAGGCTTCGCCCCACATCTTTGGGCATGTTGGTAGGAAGGGCTGTTCCTTGGAGAGGAACACCCTTGACCAGGTAGATTGACACGTGACTGTCGCAGTGGGCTCTTGTGTGTCAGGAAGTGTGAGGATAGCACTGGATAGAACAGGGTTCAAATCTGTTGTTCATAGGGTCACTATGATTCATAGTGGACTCACAGCACATTATAATAACAACAACAACATACTTAGTAAATATTTGTTACAGCATTGATTGTTACTTTGAAACTTTATTAATATTTTTGAAAGCAAGTAGGCAAACACCGTAATACTGATATTATTAGTGTCGCATTCTAGAATATAAGTAATCTGCTGAAAGATCATTTGAGTCTTTCTCATTACAGGGTGAAAAGAAGACAAAGACAACAGTTCTAACTGCGGCACTTCTGTTATCTGGAATTCCTGCTGAAGTGATAAATCGATCAATGGATACCTATAGCAAAATGGGCGAAGTCTTCACAGATCTATGTGTCTACTTTTTCACGTTTATATTTTGTCATGAACTGATTGATTATTGGGCATCTGAAGTACCTTGAAGCCTACAGAACTCAGAAAGAAAAACTTGAAACCATTTCATCTATAACCCCTTCAGAACTATACTGCAATGTCTGTAAAGGAGGCACACAAGCTATACCTTTATATTTTATTTTAAAGTAAAATTCTTTTACTTTATAGGAATTGTAAAATAATTTGATTAGGAATGGAATGGCAAGTTCCCTGATTTAAAAAGGTTGAGTTTGTGTTAGTACTGATGTGAAGAATAGAGAACTGATGTTACTGATTGGTTTTTCTTTTTAATCATAATCCCTAGCCTTTACCTTTTCCAAACCTCCTCAGATTTGTAATTCCTCTTTTGGGGGCTAAGCTCGTGCTTTTAGGAGAGCAGATAAATGTAGTCTCAGCTTGTCCTAAGAACTGCTGCTTGTATTTGTGTCATTCTGTTCTGGAAAATAGAGCAATCTTAAAGAAATGGAATTGTCTCCTGTTAAGTCTATATATTTTAACTCAGAAGGACTTAATAAAGTATCTTTTCTTGTTGAGTTTTCTAATTTTTACTCCATACAAATACTATTTAATGGAAGAAATGACTAAGACTCATACTTTTGACCTTAGGAGGTATTTGTGAAATTTTTATTTACTGTCTACCAACTCAGAATTTAAAGTTTTCATTTTTCAGAAGTATGTTTTTAAAGAAACATACTTTAAAGAAGTATGTTTTTAAATTAGAATCAATACTGATTTAAAATGAGATTTAATTAATTAACTGATGTGTACAACCCAACACTGTAACTACTCTTAATTAACTTGATGATGGTGTCATATTTGGAAAATGTGTCTTCTTAAAAGAGTACAAACGTAAGTAGTATATCACTTGGTATGTAATTTCCTTTATAGATTTTTGTATGTTCTATTTGGTTAATTCTTGTGATATTAAAAATGTGTATATATATATTTTGTTACTCAGTCTCAATTTTTGTCCTATTTTATTCTGAACTAAATTAATGGAAATAATTAAAATATGTTCCTCTGACTTGGAATAACATTACAGATACATATATTTCATGATTTTATAATGAATCTTATATTTTGAGGATTGGGAAAGATTCTTTCAGGTTGCCACTTCTCTCCTTAATCCCTAGGAAGAAACTTCAGTAGATACTGGTGGTGGTGATTTCATGTCTAGTGGCTCTGTATCTTTCTGAGTAGAACTGCTTTGAAGGATATTTATAGTTTTCCTGAAGTAAACTATTAGCCTTTTCTTCCAGGGCATCTTGGGTGAAGGGAAACCTCCAGTTTTTAAACAAGCAGCTAAGGGAGATCTGGTGGCCTAGTGGCAAGAAGCTATGCTGCAGTCCTAAACTAACTGCTGAATGTGTTAACCATCTGTATCACCTGGAGACTGGGGAAGATTGTAGCAGTTTTTACTTTTTTTTTTTTTTTAATGTGATTTTTAACTACAGTTTACAGAAAAGTTGGATTTTCATTCATTCATTCATTGTTGCATAATTTCCTCCCCCTCACCACCCCCCCAGCCCTTTCCCAATCCACTTTGCTATGAACTTTCTGGACTGTTGTCATTAGTTTTCACTTCTTCTTCTTTTTTTTTTTTAAAAAAAGCCTTAGTTAGCCTGCTGACCCATGTAGAGTTTTAGTGCTTGAGCATCATTATCAAGGAGCCTTCATGGTGCAGTGGTTAAAATGCTAGGCTGCTAACGGAAGGATCAGTGGTTTGAACCCACCACTGCTGTGCAGGAGAAAGATGTAGTTGGCTTCCCTTAAGATTTACAGGCTTCCAATGAAAGAATTTTTTTTTTTCAGAGAAAAGTGAACTAGGCAGGGAGAAAAATACACAACAATGAATGAATGAATGGAAATCCAAGTTCTCTATAAACTTTCATTAAAATATCAATTTTAAAAATTCAGAAAAGATTTACAGCCTTTGGGGCAGTTCTACTTTGTTTTTTGTAGGGCTCTTATGTATTGGAATTGACGCCGGAATAGTCTGTGGATTTGGTTAATTTTGGATTTCTTGGTTCTGGATTTTTTTCAGATTGCTACCAAATTTATATTTCAGGAAGAGCTACATCTTAATCAAGGCCACGTTTTAGCTCATGGGCCCTAAGTGCATTGAGTGATTTAAGATGGGAATGAAAATATGTTGTGTTTGAGCTAATTAAAATAATTTTTACATGATGACTTCAGGGAGCAAGTTCTGGTTGTGCAGTGGTTAAGCCTTGGCTGCTCACAGGCCAGTGATTTGTTTTAACTCACCATTCACACCTTCATAGAAAGGTGTGGCTGCCTGCTTCCATGAAGATTATAGCTTTGGAAACCCCATACTTAAACTTCAGGGATTTGAAATGTGTATAGTTTAAAACCACACTGAAAATGACAATTGTTTAGAGAGAGCATCTGTCACTTTTTACTTTAAATTTAGTTAGTATAAATGAATGTGCATGTCACCCACCCTGCCCTAGTCCCATCAGGTCAATTGATTCGTGGTTTTCCCACGTATCATCTAGTATAGCTGCCTCTGAGGTGTTTTCTGGAGGTCATCTTTATGATAGCAGATTTCCAGGGCTCCTTTCTGTGTTGCTGTTAGGTGAGCACAAACCGCCATTTTGGGTTAGTCCCTCAGAACTTACTGCCATTGAGTCAGAACCGACTCATAACTCACCCTTCCATATGTTTTTGAGAGAATGTAAATTGCTCATGAGATTGCCCACCTTGCTCTCAGGGACCCTCTGATGGATTCAAACTGCCAAAGAGGTGCTACCTTTGGGTTGGCAGCACTACTCCCTACAGATTTCACCACCAGAGCTCCCTTTAGTTGTTATGTACCATGAAGTCAGAACCAACCCATAGTTTGACCCTCCAGTGGATTTTCAGTGGCAGTAAATCACATGGAAGAAGGTTTCCCATATTTCTTCCAGGGAGCAGTTGATGGAGTCAAACCACATAATTTTGTGTTGGCAGCACATTTCCTCACCACTAAGCCGGAGCACCCTTTAAGTTAGTAGTTGCAATAGCAGTTGAATGCAAACTGCTTGTGCATGATTAATGTACATGATTAATGTGTTATCACAGTTGGTACTAAAAGCAACAAGAGGATATAAGATACTAAGATCTGGGTTAATTTAGTAAAAACTAAACCTGCTTCTTGCCAGAGAAGACATATAATCAGAAACCAATGGTAATGAAGGAAGATGTTCAAACTGCACTGAAGGTATTTGGCAAAAAATAAGACCCCAGCAATTGACAGGATACCAATTGGCATGTTTCAACAAACGGATGCAGCCCTGGATGTGCTTTCTCATTTGGATATTTTTTTTAATTATTTGTGTGTGTGTACTGTCAAATCAGATCTGATTGGTACAGGAGGAGATTGTTCCTCCTCCTCCAGGAGAGCATCTGGTGGATTTAAACTGCACACCTCCGGGATTGCAGTGCAGATATTCTTTCCCATTCTCAAAAAGAAAAAAAAAATGTCCCAGCAGAATGTAGAAATAAACAATATCATTAATATCACATGTAAGTAAAATTCTGTTGACAATTATTAAAAAATGACTAGGACAGTACATTGACAGACTACTGTCAGAGATTCAGGCTGGATTCAGAAAAGGCCTCGACACCAGAACTATTGATGCTGAGTCAGATAGATCCAGGCTGAATGTAAGCAGTACCAGAAAGACATCTACTTGTGTTTTATCGACTATGCAAAGGCATTTGATTATGTGGATCATAACAAATTGTGGGTAATATTGGAAGGAATAGGAATCCCAGAACACTTCAATGTGCACATAAAGAATGAAACCTTTACCTAGACCAGCAGAGTGAGAGAATAGTGTGATTCAAAATAAAAAATTTAAAAAAAAAGGTGTGCATCAGGGCTGTATCCTTATCCCATACCTGCTTAATTTCTGTGCCAAACAAATCATTCCAGAAATGGCTTTCAGAAGACATGTGTGGCATTAGGATTAGAGGAAAACTCATCAACTACGTACATTATGCAGATGACACAAACTTGCTTGTTTTAAGTGAAAAAGACTTGCTGCAAAAGATCAAGGACTACAGCCTTCAGTATGGATTACATCTCAACATAAAAAAAGAAAAATCCTCACCACTGGTTCAATAGATAGATGGAGAAAAGACAGAAAATGTCAATGGTTACATCTTACATGGATCCACAATCAACAACCTTGGTACCAGCAGTTAGGAGATCAAAAGATATGTTGCATTGGAAGTCTGCAGACAGGGACCTCTCCAAAGTGCTGAAGAGCAAGGATGTCAGTTCAAAAACTAACATGTGCCTGATCCAAGCCATAATATTTTTCAATCACTTGCTATGCACCTGATAATTGGACAGTGGGTAAAGAAGACAGAAGAATTATTTGAGTTGTCCTACTAAAGAGTGCTGCCAGGATGCCCCTTAGAAAGAAAAATGGTGAAACTCCATCTTACATACTTTGGGCATGTTGCTAGGAGGGGCCAGTCTTTGGAGAAAGACTCATGTTTGGAAAAATAGAGGGTCAGTGAAAGAGGGGAAGACCCTCAATGAGACAGATGGATTGACACTAAGTCTAACAGTGAACTATAGTGTGGCAATGATGATGAAGATTATGCAGGAAATAGGGTTCAGATTTGATGCTCATAGAGTTGCTATGAGTCTACCTTGACTTGAAAGCACCTAACAACAGCATTTCCCCTTTTGAGGAAGTGCAACCCTTTGGAAGAAGTGCAACCAAAGTGCACCTTAGAGGCAAGGATAGTGAGAGGTGAAACTTTGTTTCACGTACTTGGGCATGTTATTAAGTGGGGGCCAGTCCTATGGAAAAAAGAAATTGTGCTGGGGAAAGTAGAGAATCAGTGAAAAAGTAAGACTCTCTCAAGTCAACAGGTTTACACAAAGACAACAATGAGCTTGAATATGTTAGAAATCATGAAGATGGCTCATAATAGGACAATTCAGATATCTTATTCAGAGAGTTGCTGTCAGACATAGTCAACTTGATAGCACTGAAAAACATATATCACC